TCTTCTGAGATGCCAAAAAAAAAAACCCGCCATAAAAGAACCACTAAAGTAGATACCATCTTCAAAGACCTCTTAAATACTTTCTCTTTAAATTCACTGCCTTTCAAACATATTTGCAGGGTAGTGGAGACAGGAAAATATATATATAAAGTACACAGGGGAAGTGATAAGTCATGCCATAGTAAAAGAATAGAAAAAACTGTCATTAACAGAATAAGAGGCCTCCCCTGAGAATCAAGGAATAACTGGTGGAGAGAATTCCACCACTTCCTTTTTGTCACCACTGGCATTAATTCAGATGACAGAAGCAAGTAGAGGAGAGCAAGGGATGATCATCCTAGTATACTGATATGCAAACAAATATTCCTTCATTCATACGGACACATGAAAGTCTACACGGGAAGTGATAATTCATGCCATAGTAAAATAATAGAAAAAACTGTCATTAACAGAATAAGAGTCCTCCCCTGAGAATCAAGGAATAACTGGTGGAGAGAATTCCACCACTTCCTTTTTGTCACCACTGGCATTAATTCAGATGACAGAAGCAAGTAGAGGAGAGCAAGGGATGATCATCCTAGTATACTGATATGCAAACAAATATTCCTTCATTCATACGGACACATGAAAGTCTACACGGAGGATATCCAAATACTTTTATATTGTATCCTACACATTCCCTAGAAAAAGACATAATGTACAGTAGGAAAAGGACCGTGTAAGAAAAAGGATTGCATCCGTTTCTCAAAGGGATAGGGAACAACAACATGGCCTTGATAGGCCAACTTGCCACTAACATCTGTATGGTATCCAACCTTTTGAATGGGGCTGCATTCCTGAAAGCCCTTTCCACTTCGGCATCAGTCCCTTTAGCCACATCCGCTACGGTGATGAAACCAGCATTATAAAGGGCTCTGGCACGCTGTGCATTTAGCAGAGTTATCCGGACGAGGTCACAGAGCTCCCTCTGGACTCCAAAAGTAAGGCGACTCTGAAACTGAGAAAGCAGCTGTTCCATATTGTGCCACCCCAGCCGGTTACAGAAAATGGTAATCATCCCTGGAACAGGTAAAAATGGTTGCTCATTTCAAAACATGGCCTGTACAACGGCAACATGACAAGTCCACTTTTTCAGGGGTTGTTTAGGGTGGAATCTAGAAGGCTGATAATATTTGTGGCCACTGTGATGTTTCAGAAATTGAAAACTTCTGATTCTGCCTCTCCTGAAGGTCCCAAGACTCCCTCAGGACCCCTTTCGACAGGGGGAAGCCATCTGGAGCCACAGAATGAGAGTTAATCTTTAATTTATGAAAAATCGCATCACCGATAAAATCATCCCACTAGTGGTGATTTTGAGAAATTAAGTTGGAGATTTACAGAACAGACATAATTCCTCAGGCTCACCCATCCAAGTACAAATAGAGATAATATACTGTACTTAAAATGATATGAACATTTATAATTGGTATATTAGCGTAATTGAAATACAATGTTAATAAAGCTTCTTTGAGTTACAGTCATAATTGCTACATGTTTGTAGTGTTTATATTATGTATCAGCAGTGCCTCACCTGCATAAGTAGCAGCAGACTGTTGTAAAGACTGAAGCTGACCCCGATTACAACCATATTTCTTAGCAACATCCTTTAGAGGAACTTCATTTATTAAATCCAGGAGGGCCAGACTTGTAAAAAACCTGTATCGGTAAATTAATATAAAGTGACAAAAATTAGAATATCTGCAGGAGAAATAGAAATTTTGCTTTGTAATAAGAAGCCAAGCAGAAACGAGCAAACAAACAAAAACTACAACAAATACAGAAAACTCAGTTTCTGACATGGACTACGGCTGGCGCAGACAATTATTCCAACCCTACTTTCTCTCTGGTCTCTGAGATATAGCTTTCACTGAAAGGAAAAAGTTGGTAGCCAACTCTTCCATAGTCTAGCTGCAGATTAATAAAAGGAATGCAAACATGTGTTGGATTGGATTACTTCAGAAAACAATCAGCACGGCTACTCAGAAAGTAAACTGAAAGTAAACTGAGAATCAAGACCCCAGCATGGCACAAGTGTAGGAAAGCTGACTGTCAATTCTCCTTTCTGCTCTGGTCACTGCCACAAGAATCTTTCTGCTCAAAAAAGGGGTAGGCTCCTAGGGAAAGGCCAACTTGTTCATCTTTCCCACAGTGGTTGGGGTTATGCTATCTGAGGTTTATTGTTTTCATGCTCCTGTTTCCAGTGGATGACTTGCTTCTTTGGCTAACCTGAGGCTTGTCTAAGATACCAGCAGCCGCTCTATCCCTCTTCATCTTGGGGAAATTAGCCAAGCATAGCCTAAGTCATCATCATAACCTTCACCTTCTACCAGAGACAATGGATCAATACTTTGAAATTATGGCTGCTATAAGTGAAACTATTTCCATTTTAGTTATACACATGTAGTCAAACACACACACACACACACAGGGGGACAGGGGGAGAGAAAGAGACTCAAAACTTTGTTTTGGAGGCAGCCTTATTGAAACCAAGCACATCTGAAACTTAAATTTCAGATTAGAAAGCCTCTATCATCATTCACAGCATACCTGATTTTTAATTTCCACATCTTGAAAGATGGAATCACGTGCTATTCTGTGAACATGCAGACACAACTAATCCCACATGGTATCAACATGAGGAATACAGTGAGTTACTATGAACAGTGAAGGCTGCCTATTTCCAAGAGAGGGTCATAAAATGTACCAGATGAGTATATTTTAGGTATCATAAATCAAAATGCTCATTTCTATAAAATGAGTACTTCCTTTCTTCACCTTCTAGCTATAAGCAAGTTCAAAAAAAGGTTTTAACCTATTATTGTACATGAGTCACATTGCACTCCTATAACTTTAACATTACACTGAAAGCTGATCATTGCTCAATATAGAGTGGATTACTGAACACTGCTGTGATCATCACCACACACTGTCACGGAGCCTCCCTCTTGTAGCTGCTCAGTCCTTGCCTTTTGTGGATGGCCATTTGTCTGCGTTGCTTTTCTGTTCTAGCAACCATTTTGCCCTTCACGGAGCAGGCCAAAAAGCTCTCCTCGATCCCGACCAGCTCTGCTACCCGTCTCATGGAGGCCGGCAACTTCTCCCACAAGCAAAAGAACTGATACCAGTCTATTTTGGTCCAGTCCTCATAAACAGGAGTGACCTGAAACACAAAAAGAAGAGACACAGAGTTTGACTCCTACTTACTTTTCAAACTAGAATTCTTTTTCCACCCTAAGCATTTCTACACAGAAAAAGTTCTCCCCCCACACTCTTATTTTCATTTGAAATTATCCTGTAGTTATAACAGCCCTGATAAGCCCAAGGAGGGAAATATCCAGCCCCTGTGAAGTAGATGGCAACCAGGTCTCCTCCTCCCAGAACTAAGAGCCGTGGTAGCAGAGGATTTGCCATTAAATCAGACACACCGGTTTCCACAGTTTGAGTAGTTTTGTTCACGGCAGTGCTATTTCAAAACCGGAGAGAAGTAAAATGTCCTTCCCTCCGTATATAGAAAAAATACTTGTGTTAATTACAACTTCTGATTCTTCCTTTGAAGTCTAAAACAATAGCCAAAAAGACATGCAGAATAACAAGAGATGTAAAGAATAGCAGTTTCTGTCAACTCATCAGATTTACACCAATGGACATGCTGGTGTCGTTTTTCTGGTGAATTCTAGCCACTGCCAAGATATACAGTATCTACATTTCAATGAAATATGAAAAATGCACTATATATATGTTCATTGTTACTGATATTGACTTGTTCAGTCTTAAGTGATATAGCAGTCTTGTTTTCTCTGCAGTAGAAGAAATCTAGCACTAGGAGAAAAGATGGACCAAAAGATTTAGTAATTTTTCATGGGGGATCCATTTCAAAATATTTGAAAAGCACTGCCTAAGAAACAGCCAGTCAGTGACATGATATAATCCCGTGTGGTGTATAGTCCTGTGATGTGCCCTTAATCCAGCAACGAAGACCTGTGTAAGACACATCTTGCTTCCTGAATACTACTTCAGGAAACAAGTAAGACAAATTATTATGGAACATCAAAGCAGGGCTCTGCTCAGCCGGTCAAAACTCAGTTTCTCTACACACTATATTTTAGTGAACAGGGATTAAGATAAACGATAGCCAACTTTTTCCAAGTTTAAACCCTACATCCATATATGTGTATCTTGGATATAGATGAGTGGAAAACTGGGGGGGGGATCCTGATTTTCAAACACAATCTGTAGATTTCAAGCACAATAATGTACATAACAGTCTGTTAGGTTATGAGTCATCAGTGTCCAAAAAGATTTCCCCTTTTGGGGGGCTTCCAGATTATAAAACAAACAGAACCTACCAAATAGAGGCTGTGCAGATCATTCTCTAGGACAAAACTCTTCATAGCTCTTTGAAGATCAGCAAAAATCTCCAGCGCTGCTACTGGGGAAAATGAAGAGAACAGAGTAGCAGAGCCAAGCTGTGTTGCACAATAGACTTCTGTCAAGAGAAAAAAAAAGAATCATTTTCCAACATAGTAAATACTTTTCCGTTCAACTGAAAAATATTTTAAGACACAGCAATCGAAACCCAGGACCATTATTTATGATGTGTAAGGTTGATGACATCATCGACAGAGATTTTTAGAAAATTTAAAATGTTTAATCAACTATTCCCCTACATTTCCCAATGAAAGGGATTTCAAGGGAGCCTTGGAACCTTGAGGAGAATTGGAAATGCTTCACTTCTGAATATCGCTCCGGATGATGAATTTATCAACCTTATGTAGCATAACTGTAGAAACAGGATATCAGCCAGTATTCCCTTTTTTTTTTCCTTACAGTAACACAGTATCACAGAAAAACAGGTTGGAAGGGGCCTATAAGGCCATCATGTCCAACTTTCTGCTCAGTACAGGAAACCAAATCAAAGTACAGTGGTGCCCTCGCTATGCGGAATCGTCGCTAAACGGGTAGGGAAAACGTATTGAAACGCATTAAACTTAGTTTAATGCGTTCCAATACCTTGCTTACTTACCCGTTCAGCGAGGATTCCCCTTGCCGGCAGCCATTTTCGCGCCCTCGCTAAGTGGCTGCCGCAATACCCAATCTTCGCAATGCGGGTTTTCCCCATTGCGAAGATCGGGTATGTTTCCGTATAGCGATCCCGAAAAAGGGATCGCTATACGGAAACATCGCTATACGGTGCACTCGCTAAGCGAGGCACCACTGTAGATCTGACAGATGGGTGTCCAATTTTTGCTTGAAGGCCTCCAGTGTTGGAGCATTCAACATCTCCCTAGGTAATTGATACCACTGTCATACTGATCTAACAGTGAAGAGGTTTTTCAAAATATTCAGCCTAAATCTGGCTTCCTGTAACTTAAGCCCATTATTACATGTCTTACACTTGGGGATGATTGAGAACAGAACCTGCCCTTCTTCTGTATGATAATCGTTCATATATTTGAAGAGTGCGAACTACAGATGGACATGAACCATTGGTTTGGCACAATTCATTTCCCACTCAAACAACTGATCCACGGTTTGGCACCCCATCTCCTCCAGTGGGCATCCACTTGGTGACAAGGCTCAGAGGAGGCAGGGTGGGTGTGGGTGCCCGCTGCAGAGAATCAGCTATTTGGCCAGGAAACAAGCCGTGCCAAACTGCTGAACCAGCAATTCATGCCCATCTCTAGTCCTAATGTATCTCTCCTCAGTCTTCTTTTCTGAAGACTAAACATACCCAGTTCTTTCCTCACAGGACCTCAGTTCCAGTCCCCTGATCATCCTTGTTGCCCTTTTCTGAACTTGTTCCTGTTTGTCTGCATCCTTCTTAAAATGTGGTGTCCAGAACTGGACACAGTACTCTAGATGAGGCCTAGCCAGTGCCAAATAGAGGGAAACTAATACTTCACATGATTTAGAGACATGCTTCTGTTAATACAGCCTAAAAGAGTATTTGCCTTTTTTTGCAGCTACATTGCACTTTGGGCTCATATTCAGCTTGTGATCTACAACAATTTGAAGATCCTTCTTGCATGTAGTATAACTGAGCTAAGTATCCCCCATCTTTTAACTAGCCATTTGCTTTCTGCTTCCTAGGTGTAGAACTTTGCATTTTTTACAAGGCTTCACACAGAAGCTGTTTCCATCATTTGGTTCTCTTATTAAGAAATGCAAAGTATACACTCCACTAGACATTTAACAGTGAACGAAGTTTTGGTGCAAGCCCATCCCACCAAACACCTGTCTGGGCTGGGAGTGGGGAGTAGTTTCAAAAAGTAGTGCTAAATGAGCACCTCACAGAATTATAGCCAAGAGGAAACTGATGAAACTCCTGTTTCATTAGGGTATTGTTCCAATGGTCCAACACCATGAAGTGCTATTCTCCAGTCAAGGCAGTTGTAGAAAATGCTACTTTTCTTAGGTTTCTGCAACAGCACATCCCTTTTTATTCAACAATCCAAAATCTACCAGAGCACCAAGGTTTACAGTCAGGTTGCACCACAACAACCTAGGGACACAGATACCATATCTGGAAAAGAGGCCATGAAACAGAGCGTTGGGCTTAAATGTAGTTTTTCAGGCATGTTTCTTTGTTTACGGCATTTATCTGTCCATTACTCAACCTTCAAGAAATTGTGTTACATTCCACCAAGTATATATAGGACTGCACTCTCAGACACAAACTATCATCCACAGGTGTTTGCTGCTCTAAATCTAAACACATTGTTTACATTTTTACATTTTACCTTTGCCCTCCTTAGAGACCATCACAGGTGCTTGCTGCTCTAAATCCAAACACATTGTTTACATTTTACCTTTGCCCTCCTTAGAGACAGAAAGATGGATGAATTCGTTCTCAAGCAACCACTGCACGCAAGCTTCAATAGACCCATGATACGTTCTCTCCTGCTCTTTCCCGCAGTCCTGGAAAGAGTCTTTCAAGCCAGCACCAAAGAGTGTAGAAGCAGTGTAACTCTGGATGTCATCTGGAGAGCCAGCTACACCACTTACTATGATCTGTTGGAAGAAGAGTTTAAATAATCAACATACTTGTAAAAATTACACAGCAATTAATCTAAAAAGATAAACAGGATAGGGTCCACCAAATTAAATGTGCATCAGCTCTAATTTATTTATTATTATTATTTTATTTATTTTATTTATAGCCCGCCCATCTGGTCTGGTCGACCTGGAAGGAAAAAAAAGACAGTTGCGGCAGAAACAAAGCAAGCCAACAAAGGTCCTCACAATTTTCTTTTTTATCATTCTTACAGATATGTACTTGTCCTCAGGTCTTTTGGAATACTCATTTGAATGGATCCAGCTTTTTGTAGTTGGTTGTTGCTTTCAAAGGGTACACCGACGATTGTAGTGATCATCCTGCTATGCATATTTAGCATTGTATTTGCATGATCCAATAGGGAGCGGTTGGGAGGCAGAGAAGGGGGGCTGAAGCAGAGTGTGGAGGAGATAGAGAGGGGATAGAGAAGATATAAATAGAGGAGAAAGGTTTGAGGAGAAGGGGGGGCTGAAGCAGAGTATGGAGGAGATAGAGAGGGGATATAGAAGATATAAATAGAGGAGAAAGGTTTGAAGAGAAGGTTTGGGTTTTGAAGCAGAGAGAGAGTTTAGGGAGTTGATAGTCAGAACGTTATCTGTATTAGCTAAGTATAGAAAAAGTTAAAGGAAAATACTGAACGCTTTGTCTAACTTTAAGAATATGCTTAAAAACTATTCCTGAAACAACTTATAATAAACCTGTTCTTAGTTCAATGTTAAGTACTGAATGAACCTCAGTCTTTCACAGGAAACATAGTTGGTTAAGAGATCAACTGGTGGCAGCAAGGTAAAGGACGTGGTGGGATACGTAACGTGAGCTTGTTTGATAAAACAAGCAGAGGCCACATGATGAAACGTCACACCTCTATTTTAAATGTGTCCTCAATATCTATTTGGTTCAATCATCAACTTTATTTAGAGACCACGAGTTTGCCTCCTTCACTTAGAAAAGGTAACTACAGTATAATTTTCCACCTCACTTCCTCTATTTCCCCTAATCTTTAGGTTAAACTGCTGTATAACTAAGAACTGTAGAAATTTTAGGTGGAATATAACACACTTTATTGATAACTGTTACGTAAAATTTATAACTAATTAATTTTGTGCATATTTTGTGCTGTAATGTAGCCAAAACTCTCTGCTCACAACCCAGGGTTCTAGTCCAGCTAGCCAGCTTGAGGTTCATTCAGGCTTCCATCCTTCTCAGGTCAGTAAATTAAGTAACCAGCTCACTGGGGTTTAGGGGGCAATGTGTACCCTGCATAATGAAATTGTAAACCATCCAGAGAGTGCTTTCAGCACTATGGAATGCTATATAAGCAGCATGTTTTGCTTTGCTTTCACATATTTTCTGACTCTGTTTTTTTCTGGCGACAACCACTAGCTCATAAGATTAAGCTCAACAAAATGAAAATAGAATCTAATTTTCAGCAGGAGTACAACTTTATGTTCAAAATGAATTTGAAGAGAAGGAAGAATTATTCTTGAAACATATTCAGTAAACTCACTTAATCAAAAAGCCTGTATGCATTAATATATGCTCTGTAAAGTTTGATGCATTTTACATACCTCAAGGATTGCTCGTATCATACTAGAAGTAAGCTCTTCTCCCTCATGACCAATCAAACAACTACGCACTGGTTTGAGACAGCCCTGAAGTAGAGCAATTCCTTTTGATTTCTCAGAGGGCTTGCATAACAGAATGCTCTCACCTGTCAACAAACAGAACATTTGCACTGATTTAATAGCCAGTTCATGAAAAGGTCAAATTATGTATTTTTAATTAACGAATTCTCATTAACTAATTATTGTGGAAATAGTCAAAAAGATTAGCTGAGTTTAATAGCTGTGGAAACATCTATCCAACAGAGCAGGAACATAGATACTGAGAGCAGAAGAGAATGATTTATTATTTTACTGCCTGTTTCATATCCCAAAAGAAACAGTGGCTCCTATTCAGCACAGTACAATGCAAATAAGGAATAGCAACATATTTGCAAATTTATCATTTAGAGAGCATGGTTTTTATCCTTCAGCTATAACCTATAGGAGATATGGGATATGCCATTTCCAACTATATTGTGAATTCATCCTGATCTGGAGATGAAGGTTTGAATGCTACATAATAGTCAAATATTGTTACTAAACAAATGGTTGACCATTGTAAAGTAGAGCATGAACCCAGCACCTTTATAAGTGACAATCTACCTTTTTTATTTGCATCATCAGAAAAGACCTATAACCCATGAAAGTTTACCCCAAACAAAACTTTAGTCTTAATGATGTCATCTGTTGAATCTGTTGTTGTTGGGTTGTGGGTTTTTTGGTCTGGTACCTTTTTCATGACCTCATGTTATCAGACAGCAGTGGTGAAGAGAGGGGGTTCTTTCCTCCCCAACCCCACAGAAGCAAGGTCACATAGCTTTATTCAGGACTGGCCCCTCACAGCCCAGCAATTCTCTCCCAGGAGTTTCAGCCCTTCCACTTTATAGACACATGCCTTTGGACACATGTATCTCTTACCAGATACATGTTGCCCATATGACAGAAAAGGATCAAAGCAGGACCAGCAGGAAATTAAGAAGCAGCAGTTGTACCAGTGGCATATCAAAACTAATGATTACAGTGAAGATTTACTCCATTGTATCTGTGGTAAGAAGCATTGGCATTGCCCTGTACAGCTTCTGCATAGGACTGGGTTCTGGCATCTTTGTAATATATAATGATATAGCTATAATTACATACATGACCAATGTCTAACAAACTGCAGAAGAGTGTTTTCTAACAACAATGCTATACAAGAAGCAAAAGAAAAAAAGCAATAAGTGCAAACAGGTTTACTGGCAATTCTCTTGGTATAGGAGCAAGAAAAAAACCTGTAAAATAGTTAGGGATTAATGTTCTTTTAAGCATTTAAAATCTTGGTAATTATTCAGCTTTTGGCTATTCCTCGGAATGGTTAAGTAGAAAAACCTGGAATATTTGCTCCTTATCTTGCTATCTAGAGTTTTAACACTAATTTATGGTATACACTACACTTTGCATGAATGTTCTTTACTGTAGGTCTTCCTTAAGAACAATGCATTTAACTCAACATATGGATATTGTCACTAGGTTGGTTCCCCTTAGTTTGCAGTTTTCTTTCCACCTTGACCATGGAGACTCCCTACCCTATGGTAAAGAGATAATGGTACCTTTACTGCTATCTTACTCTTACACATCAGACAACTATATGAAAAACTGCCCCTCTTCCTATCTACAAAAACGTTATGGACCAATACGTGCATTTGATACAGTGAGCAACAATCCATGAAACCTGATGGCATAAACTCATTGGTTTACAAAGAATCACAATGACACCAACAGAAGCCAGTAACTTTACCTACCTATGGTATCTACGCCCTTCCTTCCAGCTCTCCCAGCCATCTGCTTGTACGTCAAGACATCCAGCGTTCTGCTGCCAAATACAGGAGTTCGGATAATTACACGGCGTGCTGGCAGATTCACTCCAGAAGAAAGTGTAGAGGTTGCAACTAGGACTCGAAGAACTCCTTGACGAAAAGCATCTTCAATTATGTCTCGTTCATCAAACGTAAGACCTGAAACACAATTAAAGCACATTATTAAACACTAGCAGGATCACCTAATGGCAGCAACAGAACAGAAGGTAGTGCAGTACTGTAGTTTGATCTAGGAAGATCAACCTAGGAATGAGGTTCAAATTGCAGTTCAATCAACCCCCAGATAGTCCTAGTAAATTGACACGATGGTGTAAGGGGAATGTCTGTGTCATCCCCAATGAGTCATCCACCTCCCCCAAGAGGACTACTCTGAGATCCCAGTATCCTAGTAAATTGACATGATGGTGTAAGGGGAATGTCTGTGTCATTCCCAATGAGTCGTCCACCTCATCCTTGTGCCCCCCCAAGAGGACTACTCTGAGATCCCAGTGGTAGAGTAACCCACAGAGGTGGACAGCAGGACAGGACACCTGGGTGAGAGTGATAAAGAGATGAACTGCTGGCCACAGGAAGAGAACACAGTTGGAGTTGTGTGATGAGAGCTGGGGATAAAAGAGGAAGAGAAAGTGGAGGTGAGGGAGTCATCAGCATCTGGGCCAGAAGAGCAGTCAGACGCATGGAAGAGCCACCTCCCACCTTTTGCTCAATCAAGGCCCTGGTTTGGAGGAGTGGGTCAGCTTTGCCCCAGGGAAGAGCAACAGTGGGTGAGTTCCCACTTCCCCACATCCAAACCATAGCAATGGCGACCAGATTGTCCTGCAGAGCTTTACCCAGGAAAGCCAATGCCAATCCGAAAGAGGCACTGGAGGTGTCACAGCAGCACTTGTACCTTGTCCATCTGACCCGGAAGCAAGAGGAGCAGCTTCACCAGGGAGAGCTACATCAACCAGGTACTACCAGCTCTCACTGAAGCATAAGGTTGTTGGGTCTAGTGCCAAGAATTCAGTCACAGCAATAGATGCTGGACAGCAGGAGGATACTGCAGAAAACTCAGCTCAAGGATGCAAGAGTCTAGTGAAAAAAAATGAGTTGCTCGTGGTGGCAAAAGGGGAGGGGGAACCAAAATTCTCAGACTCTGAAGGTACTCCACCTTCCCACCCCTCAAAAATGCTGGTTGAACCCCATCTGAGCTCGTTCACGAAGCCTATGGCGGAAGAGGTCTTCCCTCCACCTTACCTCTCAGTGGGGTGATGGGTGGTAAAAATGAGAGTAACATCATTTATTTCTACCTCCTTGCAACAACAGACAAGAAATAAAAATAAAGCCAACATAAAACACATTGACTCCTATACCAGAATAAAGGCAGCACAAAAAGGCTGTAAATAAAAAAATAAACAGAAGACTAAATATGATTTTACGGCACAGTTAAAGCATATTTACTTGCCTATAATTTTAATCCTCCAGAACATTTGGCTATAGTTTATGATCACTGAACTAGATTCTAGTTGCACGATGGAGTCTGAATGTGTGAATTTGATCCACCGAAAAGCAACACATTTGAAGCAATATGAAACTCTTGACCCCAAAGAGCTATTTCACTTAAAGTGAAGTCATTGAGGAGTAGACATGCATATGTCAATCATTCCTAAGAGTTATGGAAGCATGTCTTCTGTCTCACTTTCCACACACACATTCACTTATTGATAGAAAGAAGTACATAATATGAGATTTCAAACGGGTATACCTGCATGATGAAAAGCAACACCCACACATTTACTTATTGACAGAAAGAGGTACACAATATGAGATTTCAAATGGGTATACCTGCATGATGAAAAGCAACACCCCATTTTATAGTCCGTTGAAGCACAAAGTCCAGTCCTGCAGGAGAATGTCTTAGCTGACTCATCAGCTCCTCTATCCGTGGTGGGTCCAACACAACTGGTGCAACAGTTGACAGGTCTTTAGGCAAAAAAGAAGAAACGAAGTTGTAAAATAATCAATGAACATCTTATAGAAGCCTTTTGACAAGGAAAGAAAGGGAACCCCCTTCTCTTCCTCAAATCCTGTCTTGACTCACTCTTGTGCTGAAGATTGTAGAACTCCCTGGCAATGATATCTGCCAGCTTCTCACACCAGTTCTTAGATGGGCAAAAAACAAGAACAGAATGGCCATCCTGGACTGTCTCATAACACAGACTCACCACATGATCCTCATCACTCTAAATTGAAATAGACAATAGTTTTAGCATGTGAGTTTCATACGGAGAAGCAGCTGTCACAGCCTCTCGTAAACAGAACCAGAATCACACACAGATCTATTTGCTTCCTAAAATAAAGAACCAAGACAGTAAAACTTTTGTCTTTAAGTAAGAGGATATACTCCTTCAGTTGTTTCAGTAATTATTTTTGTTAGCTTTAAACGGCGCAACAGTCCAATTCGGATACTAGTGATTTTATTTTTAGCCCCATCTTAAGTAACCCTCAATCTTCTTTGCATCTTACTTTACCACATTAATTTCTACAGAGGGAGCTGCAGAAATCGGTTTCAGCAAAAACAATAAGAAGATTTATTCTCAAAGGCTTTCACAGTCAGGATCCGATGGCTGTTCTAGGTTTTTCGGGCTGCTCACAGCCCGAAAAACCTACAACAACAAATAAGAAGATTCTCAAGGTCTAACAAGCTTTACTTGGTCCCAACTTTGTGGCCTACAGTACATTTCTTCAGAAGCACTGAGTGCAGCCTCATTAGCCAGACATTTGTGTACATTTGAAGATACAGATATGTGAAATCTAACAGAAATGCAAATGGCACCAGCACAGTGCTGGTCTTGCGCTACTGAAGACCATAGTGCAGTAACTGGGAAATGATGTATACAGACTTTAGTGCTGATTATTAGGAGTCATCAAGTGACTCTGTCACCTAAATCAGCCTGTTTATTCTTCATAGATGTAAAATAATCTCAATAGACAAAGCAGCATTATCCTAATTAATGCATTGTTTAGTGTTGTCAAGTTACCTTCATATGTGGTACAGGTTGCATTTCTCTAACAACTTTAATTGAGTCGTCATAAATCTTGCTGCCAATTTTCACCTGTTCCACAAGAGGCACTGGACGGAAATCTGTCTGGTACAATTCTGCATTTAGCCAGGAGGCCAGAAGACCCAGATTTGGAAGGGTGGCACTCATGCCTACAATTTGTACTCCACTAGAGAGAGGGCTGTCGGTGCTTGTTTGTCTGTAAGAAGTAAAAAACAATGCTGAGTACTGAATTCTATTTAAGATACATGGTAGCTCAAAGGTTTTTTATCATGAAATAAGGATTAGTTTTTAATTAAGTAATACCCTGTTTCCCTAAAATAAGACCTAACCTGAAAATAAGCCCTAGTATGATTTTTCAGGATGCTCGTAATGTAAGTCCTACCCCAAAAATAAGCCCCATTTAAGTGAAACCCCACCCTCCACAACTGTCCAGCAACCACAATAAGATGACATGACAGTATTTGAATAAACATAGATTGTTGTACATGAAAAAATAAAACATCCCCTGAAAATACAGTAAGGCCTAATGTGTTTTTGGAGCAAAAATTAATATAAGACCCTGTCTTATTTTCGGGGAAACAGGGTATAAGACTGTATATTCACGCAATGTTTTATAAATATTGTTAGAGTTCAGTTCATTCATTAATTAGGGCCACAATCTCATGCTCTCCCAGAGATTTCTGTAAGAGTATTTTGGGTAATTTCTCTATTTAGAAGATATCATCCGAGATGCTTGATTTTGCAGTTCTCAATACTTGTAGCGTTTAAATGCCTCTTCCTAACAGTAAACAGAAAAGTTATTATTCCAAAAAATGAAACGTCATCTGGGTTATAGCTAGAGCTGGAGGTATTTGTATACTAAAACAAATACTTAACGAGGGTCTGGCCCCTGGGGCTGGACCAGCCACCCACGCATCATGCTGCAGCGCTGATCCTGCTTGTCCTTCCAATTGCACCTGGAGTGCCACTCTCTTCCCGCTCAGCTGGTCACTCGGCAGCCATGCAGGGAGACTTGTCCTCCTTACCCCACCTGGAGTGGCCAGCTGTATGGAGGTATTTGTATACTAAAATAAATAATGAGGATCTGGCCCCTGGGGCTGGACCAGCCACCCACGCATCCTGCTGCAGCGCTGATCCTGCTTGTCCTTCCAATTGCGCCTGGAGTGCCGCTCTCTTCCCGCTCAGCTGGTCACTCGGCAGCCATGCTGGGAGACTTGTCCTCCTTACCCCACCTGGAGTGGCCAGCTGTGCAGGAAGAAAGGGGCGCTCCGGATGCGGTGGAAGGATGAACGGGAGTGGCACCGCAGGAGGACACGTCAGTGGACTGTCTGCCCCAGGAGCTGGATCCTCATTAACTCCAGCTGCACGGGGATATTTCTATACGAATACCCCCATCTCTAGTTGTAACTATCAAAATTACAATAGTAAGAATGAACCTGTATGCATTTTTTGGTTGTATGTAGAAAACCATTATTTAGACCGAGTCTTACTATTCAGTCACAGTGACGGATCATCTCTCCCCCTTATCACAACAATACACCCACAACAAAAAACACGCTGATCACCATAATCACCCAATCTCCTAAAAAGGGCAAAAAGCTGATCCTACAGCTATAAATAACTATTTACTATTATATAGACTGAGTCTTACTATCTAGTGATTAGAGACATTTGTAAACAAATACAAATAACCCAGTTCCAGCTGGACTTAATGAGGGTCCGGCCCCAAGGACCAGACTGTCCACTCACAAGTCCCAGTGCCATGAAGGTCCTGATCTTCCTGCCAATGACACCAGGAACTTTGCTATCTCCCTGCTCAGCTTGGCCACTCCAGAGGGCAGGAGTTTGATGCAAGGTTTGATGCAATGTTGAGAAATGAAAGACTCCCTTGCTCCAAGGACAGAATATCACCAAAAAGAGAGAGGATGCGATAGCTTGTTCCCTAAATGGGCTGAATTAGTGCACAGTGGTAACATAAGACCCTAGAAGTGCACACTAGCTATGGCTACACCTCTCTGGGCAGAAGCAACATGCCAGTAGCATTTAGCTTCATCCTTCCTTCCATGATGCACTGAAGCATCCCAGAAACAGATGAAGCAGCTGCCAAATACACATTTAAACAGTTGAAAATCAGGGATTTAAGGAGATCCTTCTACAGTTCTGTCAAGATGTAAATTAAGCATTTGTTTATTTTAATAATCTGTGCATCTTTTCTGTTCACTCTAGAAGGAACTCTAAATCGAATTAGCTGTTCTACAGACATGCATGCATGCAAGCATCAGGTTGCCACAATGTGGAAGAGAAAAGACAATCTTATCTGGGAACACCATGTTCTGTCATTCTCAAAGGAGTTTCTTAACAAATTTAATTAGGCACAAAACCTAAATTCCAATCATGTTGAAAGGGAGACAAAAATATTTTCTTCTACTCACTTGTTCTTCATTCTTTCAGTCAAAAAACGAATTTTTGTCAGCAGGAGTTCCAAGAGATAACCTCTTTGAGAGTCTCCCAACATATGCAACTCATCCACAACTACTGTTCCTATTAAAGAGAGGGCGAGTAGGACATGGCAAACAATTTATTATTTCTTTGAAATGTCTGTGCTGTCCTTCAAACAATACTTTAAACGAGTGTACACCTATCAAAATGAAAAATAAGATATCAGATTTATGAAAGTATAGCTGAAAATAGAGTAGACTAGATCAGAGCTAAATAAAGCTCCAGACCTGGACAGCTTTTAACAATTTTTGTAATTTTACAAATGACACATTTTATAATTTTTGTTAAGTTTTTTATAAAGTTTGAAGTACATTTAGTTCCAGGACTAGAGACTGTTCCTCAAAAGCAAATGACCATAAATATCATAGTGATATTTGTGTAGGATTACGAGCATAGCAGTCACACTACTGAACAGATATCAGAGGTTTTCCTTCTATACCAGGACAAATGTTATATTTAATTATGGGCTCTTATGGACAAAGAATCAAAGGTACCTTAAAATATGACTAGTGTGAGAAAATAGGTAAATTACAAACCTTATAAAAACCAAATTTATACTGTACTGTGTATTTTTGGTTTTTTAATAACTATATTTTGTAAATATTAGATAGAGAACTAGTCACAGGCAGTCTAAAGAAGCATCAGCTGAAATCCTACTCTAGCTGTGACTAGAGTAGGCCAATTTGAATCAATGGACCTTACAGTAGACTTGACTCATCAAATCCCCATTGATTCAATGGGCCTGCTCTAGTGTAACTGACTATGCTAAACCACTGAAAAACAGAGAAACTTCAATTAGGTTGGCAAGACAGAAGCATACTTTTTTGTGCATGAGAAGTATGTTTCTCTCTGGTACAGACAGAAAATATATACAATATTTTATAAGATATACAAAATATAGAAAATGACCTCAAATAACAAGAATCGATGTCATCACTGTCATAGGGCATTGTATGTTTGAGGGAAAATGTGTATGTCTATAGTAACAATAGTGCAGTGATTACCACTGGATATAACCTTTCAAATCTATGTACACACCTAGGCTACCTACTAGCTAACACAACTGTTTGGAAGTCACAACTGAAGATTAATAGCCAAACTGGGCTATATTGTAAGCAGGTGACCTTGTTGCATCAAAATCACCTAGTGCAAAATCTCTCAATGAAATGTTTCTTGAGAAAGTCACAGATTTAAATACAAAGCCACAGTATTCTTCCAATATTACCACATTAAAATGTTGTGGATGCCACACCATACATACAATTCGTTTATCAAATAGCAGTGGTTCCCATCCTTGGGTCCACAGATGTTCTTGGACTAGAGCTCTGAGAAGCCTTCACCCCTAACTGTGATGGCCAGGATTTCTGGGAACTGTAGCCCAAGAACATCTGGGGACCAAAAGTTGGGAACCACCAAATGGAACACAGGCCAAGGGGTTTTTTGAGACATAAAATGTGTGTCCAAAGAAAAGAGTGATGCATCCAAGTGGAAAGATACTTGTTTCTCACATTTTCTGTTGTTATGACATGCTCTGAAAGCTTACCCAGTGAATCCAGTGCTTTTTCTTCTATGAGTCTATTGATCAAGCCATTGGCTCTCTCAATAGTACAGACAGCAACGTCCAAGGCAGAGAAACGGACAGCAGGAGAAATACTGCCTATATAACCTTCTACACGTACACCTACTTCTTGGAAGAGAGCCTGTTGGTCAGAGGTAACATATATAGTCACAAGTCAGTTGCATTCTGCATGCATGGCATCAAGCAGTCAGCCCTTCATTACAGTCTAAACTATTTCTCACATGCCAACAGACAACTCGCTTGGAAAAGGAGGAAGAATTGTTTCCAAGAACGAGGTAAGGAAATTTCCCTGTGTTTATTCCACTTCCTTGGCCCCAGGGCATGTGCATGCTTGTCAGACTTTCCCTTTACGAGGTGTCATGCAGATAGCACAACATCAATAACTAACGATAGTAAATCAGTAAACTTCTATCACCATATTTGTTAAGAACCAGGCATTTTGGACTGGTGTTGGTAGTGAAGCAAGCTGCCTAAAGAGCTGAGTAGTTTGAAGCATCTGACTATGGAGCAAAGGGAAAAGTATTCAATTCTACACTCTCTCTCCTGGCACAAGTCAATCTGTGCGTCCTTGGCTAAGCTGTACATTCCCAGAATGCCTCCAAAAGGAGGGACTGATAAACTACTTCTGAGTAGGTGATACTTAGAAAAACCTGGCAGGGTGACCACAAATTGAAATCAACTTGACAACAGAGTTGATACCTAGAAAAACCTGGCAGGGCGACCACAAATTGAAATCAACTTGACAACAGGTAATAATTATTACTCTTGTACCTTCAACAACACTGGGGTTAGGGGTGCCAGACAGCCATGTAATTCAAAATCTGTATATATCTCTTATGCCTCCGAAACATAACTACAAATCATCAACAGTTGAGTAATACACACACACATCTCCCCCTAAATGTATACACCTCCTGGCATGGCCCAGCACCCTCCCCAGATACTACGTGGAGCTGCCATGACAGGAGAGCGGGCTGGTCAGGTCACCACCATCAGACCAGGATCACTGCAGCACCAACAACAGGGCCCTAGGTAAGCCCAAGGCTCACCTTTCTCAAGCCACTTTCTGGAGACGAATAGCAGCACAGTAGCTATCAATATTTCTATATTTATTTAGTGGAATATTTGTTTCTTTACTTATATTAAAAAACATGTATAACCAAAACCATGCAATTCAAGGGAGGTAGCTATCAATATTTATATATTTATTTATTGGAATATTTTTTTCTTTACTTGTTTATTTTTTTAAAAAGTATATAACCAAAACCATGCAATTCAAGGGAGAAGTGCACTGTTCTGTAGCTAAGCAACATTTGCACTCACAAGGACCCTGGCCATCCAAGGATAAGTTAGCATCCAACAGGATACAGAGCTTTAGAGATGCTAGCCAGTATCTTGTTGCACAACTGTTATGGGCTAAGAGCCCTTACATGCCTCACACTTGAATGAGGGGAGGAGAATATGATGGTACTGAAAGCTGCTAGTGTTGGCATACCTGAATTGCTAAGCCAAGTTGGGGAAGGCAGTATTCATGAAGTACTCATCTGAAACATGAATTATGCATTGGAGCAGATTCAGTTTGAAAGTTATTAATACTGTTACTGTGCTAATATTATTATCAGACTTTATAATGTCATGCAGTTTTCAAAATGGAAACCTCTCTGTGGAAAATACAGCAGCAGCAGAAGGCCTCTTTCAGTTGTACTCATTTTAACATTGCAGCATAATCTACTACCAAATGCTACAACATTTTTACCAAATCAGAAGTAGACTTTTAGCCACTTCTCATTTTGCTTCCCCACCCCACCTCCATTTTCCTAAGGGGAAGATTGGTTTGGTGTGCCATACGATGGAGCCTGGTGACAGGAGATTGGCTTCTGGAGCTTAGGCCTGCCCTAAAGAGAGTACAGTACATACCTGTAAGTAATACTTCTTTTCTTTGGCCACAGAGATAAAAGGAAGTATGAACAAAGCTTTTTTGCGAGTTTCTAAAACTCTCTTCAGCATAAGCAATTCAGCAACAAGTGTTTTCCCAGCACTTGTAGGAGCTGAAAATCATTGAAGGAAATGTGTTAGTTTACAGGAGAGATAATGAGCAGCTAGCTGGTCTTTACTCAGCCTAGATAAACAAACTAATGCCACACATCCAGTAACATGTGATTATAAGAGAATATAAATATTCACAATACCTGAATAAACTAAGTTTTTCCCTTCTAGAACTTGTCCAACCATCAAGCATTCTGCTTGCCACTGGAACATACGAACTACTCCCAAGCCATTGTACTTCTCCAGGACTGCTTTGGGAAGACCCCAGTTTGCTAACAGCAGCTTGTCAGCTTGATCATCAGGTATATCCACATGTCGCTGTCCTGGGTAGAAATTCAGCATCAGATCTGCAGCTTTTTCCCAAAAATTAACCTTTATACATTGACACAGCTCACAAACATCAAGGAATCTTTTTTGTTAGATGCTATCAAGTTGCTCCTGACTTAAAGAGCCCCTATGAATATTGATGACCTCTGAAAAATTCTATCGCAGTCATACTCAGGATTTGCACACCTTGGCAAATCATCAATTAGCTGCAATTAGGCATGGCAAGCTATGTAGATCTTATGGGAACACCAGTAGGATTCTGGCTAGCATGTCCAAAGTACGATGCCACAATTTAGTCATTTTAGGCAAAAAGTCTGATACCTTAAAGTCTAATAGCTGCAGCAGAAACTATAATTGGCTCAAATTCCATTAGATTTGTGCATACGATTTGTGCAACTTGCCACAGCAAATTCCACTTAATTGGCGAAATGCTGGGTCACATCTGGGTTGGAACTGGTACAATAGCCAGGCACAATACCTCATCGGTTAGCCATGGCAGGTTATTTAAACCTTATATGAACCCCAATAGGATTCTGGGCATTGGCTAGATCCCACTTCATCAAAGGTATTGTGCTATCATATGAGGGAGCTTACTCATTGGTATCCAAAACCTGTGATCCCCCAAATCTAACTGTGCACCTACACATACACAAAGGGAGAAAAAACAACCACAAACAAAAGGGCCAATTAAGCTTCTTAATTTTTTAAGACAACAAATCTAAGACATTTCCACACCTAAATGGTAACCCACCCATAGCAGAAATTAGGGGCGGTAAGCTTGCTATTCTCCTTCACAGATTGCTGCCTTGTCATGCCAAAGGGGTTTGAGTAATTCAGAGAAGCTATGGGCTATGCCATGCAGGGACCCCCAAGAGGGACAGGTCATAGTGGAGAGTTCTGACTAAACGCGATCCACCTGGAGCAGGAACTGGCAAGCCATTCCAGTATCTTTGCCAAGAAAAGCCCATGGACAGAAACAAAAGGCTAAAAGATATGATGCTGGAAGATGAGCCCCTCGGGTTGGAAGACATCCAACATGCTACTGAGGAAAAGCAGACAAGTACAAGTAGCTCCACAGCTAATGAAGTGGTTGGGCCAAAGCTGAAAGGATGCTCAGCTGCGGATGTGCCTGGAAGTGAAAGGAAAGTCCAATCCTCCAAAAAAAAAAATACTGCATAGGAACCTGGAATGTAAGATCTATGAACCTTGGGAAGCTGGATGTGGTCAAACAGGAGATGGCAAGAATAAACATTGACATCCTGGCCGTCAATAAACTAAAATGGACAGGAATGGGCGAATTCAATTCAGACTATTATCATATCTACTACAGTGGTGCCCCGCATAGCGACAATAATCCGTTCCGGAAAAATTGTCGCTATACGAATTCGTCGCTATGCGGAACAAAAAAGCCCATAGGAATGCATTAAAACACGTTTAATGCGTTCCTATGGGCAAAAAACTCGCTGTTCTGCAAAAATCCTTCATACGGCCGCCATTTTCGCTGGCCAGTAAGCAAGGAATGGGTGTGAAAACACTGCGGGCAGCCTTTTTTTTACCCAGCGGACATTCTGGAACCACCAATCAGCTGTTAGGAAAACATTGCTATGTGAAAATCGGTAAGCGAAACAGCTTACCGATCATCGCAAAGCGATGTTTTACCATTTAAACATCACAATGTGATCGCAAAAAAAACATTGCTATGTGGATTCGTCGTTAAACGGGGCGCCCGTTATGCGGGGTACCACTGTATTGTGGGCAAGAATCCCAGAGAAGAAATGGAGTAGGCCTCATAGTCAACAAAAGAGTGGGAAAAGCTTGTGGTGATCACTGAAACAAAGGAAAAGCTAATTTCCTTGGAGAAAGAGAACAAAGGAGTCGACAATAGTGAACCAGCGGAGCCTATCCGCAATGCTCCAAGGGCTCTTTTTATTGACTTAGCATGATTACACAGCATGTTATGAAAGAAACAGATAGGATAGTGGTTACCTAATCCTTAATTTAACAGAGGATGAGATGGATGGATAGTGTCATCGAAGCGACCGACATGAATTTAGCCCAACTCCGAGAGGCAGTGGAGGACAGGAGGGCCTGGTGTGCTCTGGTCCATGGGGTCACGAAGAGTCGGACACAACTAAACAACAAACAATCCTTAACTAGGATTAGCTAAAAGAACTCTTGGATCTTATGCTCTAAGTCTAAGCAGAATGGTAAAAGAAGTTCTCCTAGCCACTGCTGCATCCTGCCAGGAGTGTATATACTTCACTGAAACAGAATCGAAGCTACAACCTTTAGCCAAGAGTTTCCCACAAAAGCTGTACTGGGATACAATCTCAAAAATGAGAGAATGATTTCAATACGAATCCAAGGCAGACCTTTCAACATCACAGTAATCCATGTTTATGCACCAACCACCGATGCTGAAGAGGCTGAAATTGACCAATTTTATAAAGACTTACAACACCTTCTAGAACTGACAGCAAAGAAAGATGTTCTTCTCATTATAGGGAACTGGAATGCTAAAGTAGGGAGTCAAGAGATAAAAGGAACAGCAGGTACGTTTGGCCTTGGAGTTCAAAACGAAGCAGGGCAAAGGCTAATAGAGTTTTGCCAAGAAAACAAGCTGGTCATCACAAACACTCTTTTCCAACAACTCAAGAGGGGACTTTACAGATGGACATCACCAGATGGGCAATACCAAAATCAGATTGATTATGTTCTCTGCAGCCAAAGATGGAGAAGCTCTATACAGTCAGCAAAAACAAGACCTCGAGCGGATGGTGGCTCTGATCATCAGCTTCTTATAGCAAAACTCAAGCTTAAACTGAAGAAAGTAGGAAAAACCACTGGGCTAGTCAGATATAATCTGTGCCAAAGAATGCTTGTTTTGGGTTTTTCGGGCTCTTTGGCCATGTTCTGAAGGTTGTTCTTCCTGACGTTTCGTCAGTCTCTGTGGCCGACATCTTCAGAGGACTGGATTCCCTCTCCGACCGTGTGTCCTCCTGGCCAGACTCCCGCCAGATGAGCACCCTCGTGGTCTGCAGGAAACTTCATCTGCCGCCCTGTCCCGGAATTCCAGCTCCTGCTGGTTTTTGCTGGCGGCCGCTGCCTTTGCCTTCGGCCATGAAGCGCCTCCCAGCTGCTTTACCTGTGGCTGGTGGGTGGCGGTGATCCTGGCAGGGTGGAGATGGGAAAGCTGGGTGCGGCAAGGCAGGGCAAGGTGGCCTCCCACCGGGAGGCGCTTCACGGCTGAAGGCAAAGGCCAGTGCTCCAGTCCTCTGAAGATGCCGGCCACAGAGACTGGTGAAACGTCAGGAAGAACAACCTTCAGAACACGGCCAAAGAGCCCGAAAAATCCAAAACAACTATCAGATCCAGGCCGCGAAAGCCTTTGAGTACAGCTACTGTACAATTGCACTCATTTCACACACTAGCAAGGTTATGCTCAAAAATCCTACAAGGTAGGCTTCAGCAGTATATGGACCGAAAACTCCCAGAAGTACAAACTATGGCAAGTCCTTAAAGAAATGGGAGTGCCTGACCACCTTATCTATCTCCTGAGAAATCTATATGTGGGACAAGAAGCAACAGTTAGAACTGGATATGGAACAACTGATTGGTTCTAAATTGGGAAATGAGTATATTTTCCCCCTGCTTATTTAACTTATATGCAGAATACATCATGCGGAAGGCTGAACTGGAGGAATCCCAAGCCGGAATTAAGATTGCCGGAGGAAATATCAACAACCTCAGATATGCAGATGATACCACTCTGATGGCAGAAAGTGAGAAGGAATTAAAAGAACCTCTTAATGAGGGTGAAAGAGGAGAGCGCCAAAAATGGTCTGAATCTCAACATCAAAAAAACTAAGATCATGGGCACTGGTCCCATCACCTCATGGCAAATAGAAGGGGAAGATGTGGAAGAAGTAACAGATTTTACTTTTTTGGGTTCCATGATCACTGCAGATGGTGACAGCAGCCATGAAATTAAAAGACCCCTGCTTCTTGGGAGGAAAGCGATGACAAACCTAGACAGCACCTTAAAAAGCAGCGACATAACCATGCTGACAAAGATCCACATAGTCAAAGCTATGGTTTTTCCAGTAGCGATGTATGGAAGTGAGAGCTGGACCATAAAGAAGGCTGACCGCCAAAGAATTGATGCTTTTGAATTGTGGTGCTGGAGGAGACTCTTGAGAGTCCCCTGGACTGCGAGATCAAACCTATCCTTTCTGAAGGAAATCATCCCTGAGTGCTCACTGGAAGGACAGATCCTGAAGCTGAGGCTCCAATACTTTGGCGATCTCATGAAAAGCGAAGATTCCTTGGAAAAGACCCTGATGTTAGGAAAGTGTGAAGGCAAGAGGAGAAGGGGACGACAGAGGATGAGATGGTTGGACAGTGTCATCGAAGGGACAATCATGAATTTGACCCAACTCCGGTAGGCAGTGGAAGACAGGAGGGCCTGGCGTGCTCTGGTCCATGGAGAAGAGTCAGACACGAGTTAATGACTAAACAACAACGAAGCCCGCTATTACCATCCTTTTAAAGCTATGCAAGAAAACAAACAGTGGCGCCCGCATTAAGTCACGACCGACCCCAGCGTGCCGAGCTGACACCCCTCCTAAAATGCCCCAATTTACGACAGAGGGTTTCTACTGAACCCAGCGCCAAGGGGACCGTCGCCTGTCACCCAAACGAGGGAGTAACAAGAGTCGTCTCTTAATTCCCAGGCCAAAACCCTTCGGTCCGGCCAGACCACAACGAAACCGCGGGCTTCTTCTCCCAACCCCCGTCCCTTTCTAGCCGGGCTCCGCATCAAAGCCGACGGTTTACCTGAAGGGCTGAGCGGCCGGCCTGGGGAGCCGCTCAGACCGGGCGGAGGGCTCAGCACTAGGCTCCTGTTTTCCTTCCCGCTTCCCTGAAAAGAAGGCGGCGGCGGCGGCGGCCACGCCGTGACTCGGAGCGGCTGACCTGCTGGCCCCCGCCGGCCTCCGCTCGCCTCCGCCATTTTCCCGCTCAGGCGTTCAAAGAGACGGGAAAGGCGGCCGCGGCGCTGACGCACTTCCCGCCGAGCTCGCCTTCGAGCGCAAGGGAGCCCCCCTGGAAAGTGGCCTGTCTACGTCGGAATGTGTTTTTTTATAGGCCTGAGAGAGAGAGAGAGTGAGAGACGGTTTTCGCTTCCCGTGAAACTGACCGAAAAATCATGAATTTTCAGAATAAAACTCCGTTGGGGGGAGGGGTTGGAATTCAGAGTTTCACTGTATCGGAGACTGCTTTCTCTTAAGTACAGTACATGGAAAGAGTCTGCTCTCCTAAATGTTTAAAAATATATATTTAATATCTGACCTGCATTCAATATGTATTTTTAAGCATTTAGAAGGACAAGCTGCCTTCATGCAAGTTAACCGAGAAGGTTTCTGCACGCGTTATGTCCGAGGATGCGGAGGAAACAATATAAGGCGTCTTGTGGTGAACTTTGTGAGGCGATTGTGAGGGGGATTTCGGACTGGTAATGGGAAGCAGTTCATTCCCTTGAGGTCCTTGACAATCACACCAGGCATTAAACAATATACCGTGCAGGACTTGGAACATGGGGCCTTCCAGATGTTCTCATACTAAAACTCCCAGCAGCCCCAACTAGTATACCAAAATGTTCAGGAATTATGGACATTGCAGTCCAGCGGCCATACATTCCCCTGACCTGACACATTTTTGTCATCATAGAACTATCATGGACTTTATTTGAAAACCACACACACATCTCAGATATACGGTATATGTCAAAATCCAAAGAAAAAACAGAGACAAAAATACATGGCACTTCAAAGACTAGTATGTTTTAATATGAGCTTTCATGGACACCTCCACTTCATCAGACATACGGAAACAGAACTAAATATCAGTTACATACTGTACTATGTAATATAATATGTAGCTGATATTTCATTCTGCTTCCATATGTCTGACAAAGGGGATGTGATCCACGAAAGCTCACATTAAAATATAATAGTCTTTAAGATGCCACATGTTTTTGTCTTGTTTTGTTTCTTTGGATTTTGCCTGATACTCTTGTAAAGATAAAGCTACTTCTTCCAAAACTAAATCTCACATAGGGGACCATCATCACATAGTTGTCAAACTAGAGAAGGCAGGGACCCTATGGATCATTAAGTCTAGCCCCAGTCAAGCAGGTACAGTGGGGAATCGAACTCGCAACTTCTGCCTCTGCAGCCAAATACCTAAACCACCAGCGGGATTGTCACAAAACAGTGGTGGGACATATACCACTGAGAGATGGATAAATAATTTAGGTGAATGCAAAGTTTTATAGCAATAACTAAGATTTTTGCCTATAACAATAAAGTTGAATAACTAGTAATAGCAATAGTTAATTATCTGTGTTTTATAGTTACTGTGAAGAAATTAAGACATTGAGGAACATGGAATCCATCTTGGGAAATTAAACTTCTCTGTGAATGCCTCGGAAAAGTTGGCTGAGAGTTGGGCAGTCAATACGTATGTGCCTCGAAACAAAAAGATGGTAACACCTGCTGCTTATCTCTTCTGGGAGAGCCTTCAAGGCCAAGTCAGCTCCTTCCTGAAGACGGTGCTAACTGGGAAGTGACTTCCGCTCTGTGAAGGGAGCCGTGCAGAAAGTGTTCTTGTTTTCATTAACTTTCCCAGGAACTCAAAGCCTAATAAAAGAGGGTTCAGTAGTTGGGATAGCTTACCGATCAGGAGATGCTACAGTAAGTTGCTGTCCTATGACGGATGCACTCTGTGTATGCTTCAGAACTACGATATGCTCTATGCTAATACATGAGTACAGTATTAGGTAAATTAGCTCAGCTTTTATTATTTTCTGATGTGTTCTCTTGAATGCCTTAGCTTGGTCTCAGCTGAATTTTTGCTCCAAATGCTTTTTGAAACCTTTTGTCTTTTGACTGTAATAAAACATAAAAATCACTTCAACTAATTGTCTTGGGGTGGAAGGGGTTGCCTCAAAGGGCTTGTGCTAAACTAGGTCTTGTCTTGACCAGCTAGCAGGGGGTTTGGTACTTTTGTTGGTCTCATGGCAGCTCTATCTTGCAAGGTGGGTGTAGGGATCCTAAGCAGCTAGCTTGGTGGGTTTTTGGACTCCCTTGAAACACTGCCGGATCTGAGTAGACTGAAGTGTTTGAAGGCACCAGTGCCAGGCTGGTGGCTGAGCAATAGAGAGGGGAACCACCCAAATGCAGTAAACTTCCCCTTCTTTTATTTCCTCCTCCTCTTCAATTCTTCCTCTTCTCCAGCCATCAGATGGTCTTCCACTACTGATGGTTCTTTTCCCACTTTTTCCTCTCTGCCAAAATTAGTCTCTCTCATTGGTGGTCACACTCCCAGCTTCCATTCTTATCCTGACGTACCCTCCAAATTGAGGTCCTTCTTCAAATCCTCCATGCCAGCAGCACTAATCATAGAAGGATATATTCTCGGGGATGATGGAGTAGATTGTCCTCATATCAATCACATGCATTATTACAATTCAGAATTAGTTAAATGGGGTTATTGGTTTCCTTTCTTAATTATTTATTTATATGCTGCTCTTCTTCCCATAAGGGACCAAAGGTGGCTTGCAGCAATTAAAACTGTACAATTATAACAAACTTTGAATGCTATATAAAAATAAAAATTAAAAAATCCATATTAGAAGCAACTTTAAAAACATTTTTAAACATGTAAAAAGATCTAAATGTCATAGACTCCCACTTATTGCTTAAAAGCTTGCCTGAAAAGGAAGGTCTTTGCCTGAGGATGGAAAGAAAACAGGGAGCCCCCCCCCCATCTGGATTGCTGAACCACTGCATTCCAAAGCCTGGGAGCAGCCAAGAAGGCCCTCTTTCCCAAATGAGCTTGGGAAGGTGGTGGAGACGAGAGAAGGGCCTCCCCAGAAGATCTTAAAAGCTGAGTAGGCTCATATGGGGTGATATGATCCTGTAAACCTCTTAGACCCAAACCATATAGAGCAGGGGTCTCAAACATGCGGCCCGGGGGGCATTTGCGGCCTGCTGGATGATAGTTTGTGGCCCCTGCCTTGCCTGCCCCCGTGTCCTCTGCTGTCAAGAAAGCCTTGCCTCGCTCAGTGACTCTCCCCCAAGACAGCACCTCTTACACCCTCCATCCGGAACTGCAGCCAGCCCGCCTGTCCGCCAGCTGGCAGGCTGCAGTTCCGGATGGAGGGTGCAAGAGGTGCTTCTTGGGGGAGAGCCAGTGAGCGAGGCACGCTGCTGGCCCTTTCCCCCGGGCTCCCGAGCCGCCGCCATGCGATGCCTGAAAGCGAAGCTCACTCCCAGCCAGTCCTCGAAGAGTGGCTCTAAGTTGCCAACAGCAGCTGCCACGGCCACTGCCTTTTCCAGGGAAGCAGCTCTCTGGCTCTCTTTCTCTCTCGGCACCCCCAGCACCAGCCCGGCCAGCGGCTGCCTCAGCACCCGGCAGTGCTTCCTCCTCTGCCACCACAAAACACTGGTGCAACTCTGTAAATGGGGCAGAATCTGAGAAGAGTGAGTACACAAAGACTCCTACACTGCCTTCGGTTTAATTTTTGTTCATCCCTGCAGGAAAACTGCTGCTGAATTCTTTCTTCGATGTCCTATGAAATGTCAAAGGAATTATGTTGTGCTGCCTTGCATCTGATCTCATTCCTGGACATTTTAGTTTGTTCAAGTTCCTAATTGTTATTATACAAAAATATCCTGACTTGGAAAGTCCCCGGTCTTTCCCAGAATGGTATGTTCCAGGTGTTGAGCTCCATCCAGCAAGGCCAAGGCCCAACATTTGTTGCCTTGTTTTCAGCCTCAAAGCGGCAGGTTGATGCTGCTTCACATTTATTGCAAAAATGCTACCCGTGACTCCAGTGGTTTGTGTGTCTGTCTATCTTCTTTACACAGACTTTCTCATCTTGCTTGACTGGTATCTTTCCAGTTCTCAGTTACTTACCTTTCAGTCCTGTCACAGGCAACATTTCCCCCTTCGTCACTTCGAATTCTGGTTCAGTTTCATCCCCAATGAATTTACCAGAACTCCTTATCCCCCTGCAACTCAGTAGCATGGAATTACACACTATGTAAAAAGGAAGATTCATGTGATTTGGCTGAAGGGGAATTGTAAAGATACCAGTTTAAATTTATGAGATGTGGGTGATCAGGCTTAGTTCCCTAAGTTTGTAGGCTTTTAACAGAGAATGGGAATGACAGCTGGTTTCCTTTATACCCTATATTTGTAATATTCAGCAAAATATTTTAATAAAAATATAATTCAGTTGTGCATTGTAATAAAAATATAAAAGTACAGACTTTGCTATTTTTTTGCCAATTTGTTTGCCATTATAAATCCTCTTGACAAAGATATACTGACAAATGTATTAAAACATACACAATATTTACAGTGCAACCTGACTGAATTATTATCACTGACTACAGTATATACACTGAAACCACTTTACAGTGATGCCTCCACTTACGACCATAATCCGTTCCGGAATGATAGTTGTAACTCGAAATGGTCATAAGTTGAAGCACCATTTCCCATAGGAATGCATTGGAACGCCATTAATCCGTTCCGGACAAAGAAAAAAATCACAAAAAAACCCTGCAAGACTCATTGGAAGTGCGATTAATCCCTTCCAGCCAAGGGGAGGGGGGGAGAAAAGCAAGGGAAGCATGCAGGACCCATTGCAAAAGCACAGAAAACAAACAGAGGAGATTGGAAATGCAGAGAGAACAAAGGGACCAGGTCGGAAATGCACAGAAATCAAAGGGAGCAGATCAGAAATGCAAAAAGAACAAAGCAAAAAGCAAAAGAAGCATGCAAGACACATCAAAAATGGGGAGGGGGACCCAAAAGCAACCAAACCCCCAAGACCCATCAGAAATGGGGGGGGCCAAAAAAACAAAACAAAACAAAAAAAACCAAGACCCATCACAGCACAGAAACATAACCCCCCCAGCAGCCGAAAACCACGCTGCAAAAATACCAAGAACAGTTTTTAAAAAGCATAAAGCAGCACCGAACCTTAGCAGGCAGCCTCCTCCGATCGCAAACTCTCTAACTGCCCGGGTGAAAGAGCTACAAAGCAGCAGCCTCTTTCGCCACCTTCAGTTAGCAATCTGAATTTCCCGCCTTTTTCTGTTTGTAAGTGGAAGCTCTGGTCGCAAGTAGCAGCAAAATTTTGCAGCCGGAGCTGGTCATAAGTCGAATTGGTTGTAAGTAGTGACGTTCGTAAGGCAAGGCACCACATACTGCTGCTTAGTAGCACCTCACTGAGATCTCTGGCTGCTGTATTTTCTCATGATTCCCAGTAAATATTTCCCAGTTCAAGAAGCTGAAGTTTCTGTTGCCTTAAACATACTTTTCAGGTAGTGACTCAAGTTCCACATGTGGGTTGTAGCAAGTGACTCCATACTATTTGCTTTAAAATATAGAAAGAAGAAAGTGAGAGACAAGAGAGGAAAAACAGAGTCTCTGTATGGACCAGAAGCTCAGGTCTGCCCAGTGGAAAGCCGAGAAGACAAGGAGAAAACAGATGTGCTTTGCATGCTTGACAGCTGTTGCATATGAACAAATTGGTGCGATTTACACATGGTTCAATCCACTTTCCTTTGATCTTGCTTCATGCCCTTGGCCTCCACCCACTTCTAGAACACAAACATCCAAACTGGTATTTGAATTGTAGCTAAAAAATATTCCCTGCTGCAGGTTTACAGTGAGCGCATGTTTACACCTGTATACCGGTGCTACAGTATGATTTGATGGCAAACAATTATTATTGTTTACATGAGTTGAACTATAATGTCTTTCTCCAAGGAGGAAAAAAGAATTGTACCAAATTAAAGGTGAAAAACTAAAAGTCTATTGGTGATCTGCTCTTCGAATAGAAGAGCAATCCTGATCCACAGGGAGAAAGAATACTGTACTTGGGGAACTAGACATCTCTGCATTGTAGTTATGCCATAAGAAGGTGAGTGAGAAGCAGAAAAAACAGGGAGAGAGGGAAGGAAGGACGTAAAAACATATAAGTATTTAAAAAGATGGGTCTCATAGTGCAGCCTAAAAAAAAAGTGAATTGGAAAACATTACTCATTTCAGAGACATCTCTTATAAAGCAAGGCATTTGATGAAATTATCTGCTTTCAGTCTCTCCAAAGTTTTAAAAACAAGATGGCAATGATGAATGGCCAAAGAGAGGGGCCAAAATCAAATTCCAGGAGGAGAAACTGGGCTTAACTGTGGCAAAAACTGTTTTTAGATATACATTTGTCAGAGGGAATGGAGTGACACCTTCCTCTAGTTACAAATCTCTTACGATGTGTCCGCTGTTTATTATGTCTTCAGCACCTAATGATGGGTGAGCTGAAATGCTAGTGGTAACTTGCACCATGAACAGAACTTTGATACTGTTGTAACAACTCTGACTCACGCAAAGCACCAAAACAATGATGCCACCAAGAAATGAACATGCATGTGTGAACCGGTTTTGCTTGAAAAGAAGCAAGAAGACAAAATATCTAGTGTTGGTTTGCCAAGGCTTCTTGAATGGCCTCACTGCAGCCATTCAGCTCCATCTGGTTGAGAGCATTGCTGATGCGCTCCACGGTGGCATCTTGGCCTGCCTGCAGCCTCCAATGTCTCAGCATCTCATATTGTGCTTCTCTGAAGGAATGCTGTTCTATAGTAATTCTCTCCACTACATTTTCTTTCAGTCCCAGGTACCGTATAAATTCCTTCCACCGGATTGGTGGCACTTGCTCCATAATAGCATACAAAACTTCAGGACCTGGGGGAGAGGAATGGAGAAGACACCAAATTATGCTGTGAATGTTATTTCCTCTCCAACCTGTACCATGATTTGCTCTACATGGCACAAAATTTTTCCTAGCAACATAATTTTTTTCCATCAGTGTACATGGGCTCCAATTCTGTACAGATTTAGCAAGGCTAAAACTCATTGGATTCACCAAACCATACCTTTCGATAAATATGCTTAGGACCGCAGTAAACAAATATGAAGTTGCATTTCATATCTGTATATAGCTCAAATATATAAATGTATGTTGTCATTCATTCTGAAGTACACAGGGCATGATTCTAAGCAAAATATTCACACTGGGTGTCATGTTCACACACTTGTGACTGATGTGCTTATATCTGTCCCTTTCTCCTGAAACTTGGGGCTCTGTCCGTATGGTTCCTATGGTAACAGCTCAGCGTGAGGTTTGAACTAGATGTCTTCCCACCAGCACCACGAGTTTTTTTCAAGATGGTACCCATCCTCGTATGGGAAAGGCCCGAACAACTCCTCCTCATTTTCCTCTCCCCACTTAAATATTTTTTTTAAATGAAGCCACACTCACGATTTGGGATCTGCCTCTTTTCTGCAGATCTCACACAGTCTGGTAGAGGCACACTTGCGGTTAACTGTGTCAACTGTTTTGTTTCTAGAGGTGGCACCAGAAGAGTGCAGTCTGCAACCTGTGCAGCAAAATAAAAATAAAATAAAACAAAATAAAATGTAAAAAAGGACATAAGATTTACATAACTACATTGATAACTGCTCGATCTTTGTGTCATCATTTGGGGATTGCAAAAACCTGACAGGAACAGAATTCCAGGAGACAAGACCAATGGTGGCTTTGGTCACCTTCCCCTACTCTGTTCAGATCAGCTGCAGGTTGATCCATACTAGCTCCAATATTGAAGGCAAACAGTTCCTCCCCCCGGCCCCCTTCACTGGCAAAAAGAATCTCTAAACCACCCTCCACTGGGCTAAACTACAGCATTTCCTTTCTATATGGCTGGCTGAGAGGAGGTACTGTCGACCCCTCAGTGATTAGCTGGTGGGATCGGAACCACCATCCCACCCTGAACACATCCCATCTTATCTGGTTTTTTAAACTAAGGAGAGTTGGCTCTGATTAGTCCTTGGATGGGAGGCCACCAGGAATATCAAGTATCTCCAGATAAGGCTAAGAAGGAAATCTGCCTGATGCTCTGAGAAGCCATTCCTAGTCAGTGCTAACAACACTGATAGATGGACGTGTTATCTGACATAGTATATAACATAGCCGCCAATCCATCTAAGATTCCCAAGAGCACAAAACAAAACACAGAAACCATTCATCAATATCTCAGAACCTAGGTCTCCCGTATGCTTCACCTCAAGTGCCTATGGCTGAAGTTAAGAGTACTGGGAAATAAGACAGTTACCTTTGAAGTAGGTTCTCTCATTGACTCCGGGGTCAAAGCTGGAAGTGAAAAACATCAAATGAAACTAAATCAAATGAAATTATCTATTCTTAGTTTGTTGTTGATGAGATAATCTTTCTTTTCTTTTGGGTTGTTGACCTAATCGAGAAGGTTTCCCCCAGGGGCCCTGATTGGGAGGAAGGTGGACTCCTGTATCTGTTTAGCTAAAGGGATACATCAAATAGAGAGGAAACATGAGTTTTTGAAGATGATTAGGAGTTCCAAATATATTTAGCTTATTTGAAAGGACCTACATCTACTATAAGTAAATCAGAGATTTATTGGTGGATATTCGGAGATATTCATGGGGTAGTCTTAAGGTTTAAACTCACAAAATAAATCAGAAGATGGCTTCTGTTTCTTCTGACGATATTGCTTGGCAATTTTCCTTGTCAGGAAGAATATACAACAAGCTCCAAAGATGATGACCAATGAGCTGAGGACAAACATGACTTCTGTATGGAAAAAAAAAGCATATTGAAGGCATGACATCAGACAATGATTTCAAGAGCAGTGTGATGAAAAATGAAGACAGAAGAGGAAAATGTGACACACAGAACCAGAATCCACATGCGGTATTACAACAGGGATGGGCAAAATATGTTCCATGGGTTGTACATGGCCTTCAAGTCCCTGCAAGACCCTTTCCATGGCTGTACCATTCCATCTAATATGTTTGGGAAACAGAAAATGGCAAAGCACCACCTCAAAATTCTCTGGGGATACAATCTGCCCTTTCTATGACTCCCACTCCATCCCTAAAAGGCTTTTTCATAAAAAATGGTAATTATTAAACCAGTTACTTAAAAAAAATTAAAAGCAGGTTCGGTTGGGTTTTTGCTTAAAGAGGCTCTGGGAAGGGCGAGGTTTAATTTTGAAACCAAATTGTGCCTCTAAAGCTTCCGGGGAGGTGTTTTCCATTTTCGGCACTACTAAGTATGTTTTTTTTTCTGGGATCAAAGGATCCCATACCTCAAAGGTCCAAAGCAAAAATGGCACCTGGACCCTCAGAACCCTGTATTAGAGAAATGATTGTAGAACTCACGTTGGGAACTTAATGGATTCATTACCGGAAGCGGTTCCTTACAATATGGTTCACAGTCAAGGCTGTTGCAGCTAAGAGACAAAAAAAAGGAATATTGAGTTACACAGGAAAAAAATGCTAGATGTATTTAGACCACTCCTGTTTCACTGCACCTTCGCTGTCTACTCTGGTAGTTGCCAACATGGCACCTGTGAGCACAGTGCAGCCTTGGGAACTTACTTGGGCACATATACAAGTGTCCAAGATTATGAGATCAAATCTGCCTCAATGAGATCTCCACACCCAGCTCTGGCCTCTTCTTCCTATTCTACGTAGGTGCACATACATTTTCCTCCTGTTCCTCTATGACCAGATGGCCTCCCTGCCATTCTAGATGCAAGCTGGAGAAAGAGAAAACAAAGCAAAACACTCCTTCCTGGGGAAACAAAACTGGCCTTCCAGATGTGCAGGAAGTAGCTGGTGGAAGAGAAAGAGTTGCTGCAGTTAACACACAGATGGAGGGTAGGAGATCTGGAAGAAAACAGAGTTCCTGCAGTGCTGCTATTTGTCTCATACAATGTCTCTGTCTCTGCAGCGGGACCAGCAACAAATGGCAGCTAGAAAGGTGCTCCATACAGTCCACACCAGGCTAGTCTCACAAAGCAAGAAAAAGAGCTCCATTATTTTAAAAATGGAAAGCAAACCTAGCTATGGAGATTGAAGGACTTCTGCACATACGCACACTGGGTACTCAATTTACCACCCTCAGAAGGATGGTAGGCCGAGTGAACCTCAGGCTCTGCTCTCATGAGCAGAGTTTTGGCTGCAGTACTGCAGTTTAACCACTGCACCATGAGGTAAAAAAAACTGAGGTGGCCCAAGTGTGTTTTACAAAGACACACAACAAGTTTCCCCACCTGGTGCACGGGGAGCAGCTGTTTTCATTTTTCCGAAGAAAGAATCCAGGGAGACACTCACATATTGTGTCCTTAAATTTGGTACCTGCAAAGGAAAGAAAAATGAGAAAAGCAGATAATTATTACCAGGAAACTATATGCCAATATTCATTGCCCAGGGCCAAGCTAGATGTGATATACAGCATCTGTGTTCAGGATCTCTTTGAATTTAAAAGAAAGTTTAAAAACAACTGAAGATTGTCTGACTCAAATGAGAACTGCAGTGATAGCAGAAGAGCATATACAGTAACTCTTTCCTTGAATGCTGTAAGGCCATTCTGTGGAGGGGGGACACATAGGTACTCATGGAGCACATGTACATTTTCCCTTCCTGAAGTTACTACTTTCCTCATGAGGGAACATATGTAGGCACTATTTGAGTCACTTTATGTTCTCTCTCATAAAGGAAACGGAAGTTTCAGGATTATGATTTTAATCAAGAAAAACAGGACCTTTCATATATAATGGTATCTAATCTTGAGCTCATGGGCCATTATTACTTTTAAAGTACACTGATCTAATCTCGAGCTCATGGGCCATTATTACTTTTAAAGTGATGGGAGACATGGATTATAGATTTCCTGTATCATATCTATTTGTACCTTCACCAAGAAGGTGTTGGGAGGGAATGCATGAATCTGATAGTATAACGGATTATAGATCTCCTGTATCATATCTATTTCACCAAGAAGGTGTGGGGAGGGAATGCATGAATCTGATAGTATAAGGACTGGAAGAGAATGCACAATATAGCAATGGTTTCTGAAGAGCTGTTTCATAAATACAGTAACTGAGGAAACACAGCAGTTCAATGTTCTAGGCAGGTGACAGAGGTTTCACAAATAACTGAGGAAATATAGCAGTTCAATGTTCTAGGCAGGTGACAGATAACACTGACAAGGTGGTGGTTACAGTGATAAAAGGAAAGATAACATGGAAGGAAACTGCTCCAAAGGAATGGAACTGTTAAGATGGAAAGAAGCTTGGTAGCTCATTTATGTGGAAGTTTGGGAAATTCTTCAGGAAGACCTGACTTCTGAGATTTATCTAAAGAAAGAAGAGGAAAAGTCATTGCAAAAGGCGAATAAGAAGAGGGTGATCTCTAAATCATTAAAATGTTGAGTTTGCGGAATAATCCAGTTTCTTATCATAACTGTACATAGACTATGTCCTTAGTTTCCATGAAGGACAGTCATTTGTTGACTTAATGGAACCAGCAACTCAGTCTCTCTGCTGAGATTTGTAAAATCTCCCCAGTAATGAACCAAGGAGTGAAAAATTGGTGTGCAAATAATCACAAATTGTTATTATGCTAGCTTGAGGGGATGCCTGCAGATATGGCTTACCACCTTGTATCTCCTTCTCAAAGAGCCAAAACGAGTTACTGGCTAGTTGCTAGTGATAATTCCTAGGTTCTAGAAAAACTGGATTCAATTTGCTTCTTAGGTCAAGGGCCTATCTTTTCGCTGGTACCTCTGTAAAGTTGTATGCATATTTATAGTTATTCAGTGTTAAATCATCATCATCATCATCATCTTAGAACTGCAGAGCTGGAAGAGACCCTATGGATCATCAAGTTCAGTCCCTATATTATACTGTAATTAGTATATTATTTATGCTATTAATATATGTTAGTATACACTATATTGTAATATATATACTGTATATTACATAAAGTATGTTAATATACTAATATTCTATATATAATTAACATATCAATAACATGATTATATACTGTTTATTATTATTTAAAATTATAATTATATTTTAATATGTACCTATATAATCAGTATATTGTTCATACTAATAGAGGAGAAGGAGAGAGAATGTATATGGACCTCAATGTCTGTGTCTATTTCTCACATAACTCCAAGACTGTGAAATGTACTATACTTACTAGGGGTGTGGTGTGTATCTAAGTCTTATCTAATTAAAAAACAAAGAAATATAAACTTAGGGTAACTTGGGGGTAATTTAAAAATCTTTTTGTATCTTGCAATACCACCATCAGTCACTAAGTGGCAGAAATTTCTAAACAATATGCAACTGGCTAGACATATTTATTTCTGAGGATTTCCAAGGCAGTGGCACATTGGCTAAAAACAAATCCAAAGGAATACAGACTCTTGGGCACAACTGCAAGGCCCCCAAACATGACCCCTATTAATATGTCCAAAAGGTCGCAGAAAGATGGGGAAGGAGAGGAAGAAGCTTGTTCTGCCAGGGAGGTCAGTAAGCAAAGATAACCTCTGTACATGTATCAGACCCGAAGGTCAAGACTGCAACTACACCTGCAATGCTAATGTACTGAAAAACAGACCACAGATGTATAAAACAAATAATACAAGTGGAGTGGAAAGAATAATGAGTTAAAATAAGAAACAATGCAATAGGAAAAATAAAGTGAAAAGACAGATTAAAGGATATACATTTTGCCAGAACACAAAGAGGTTTCATAAACATGTTGCATCAGTACAGAGCAGAGGTTCCGCGTACAAAATGAAAGCGATGTGGCCTGGGGGCTGGGAAGTCCCATTGGAAAGAAACCAATTCTGTTCTGGGTGTACTCACAATCTTGCCTGATTGTTCCATTTTGACAGCGACTGCATTTCTTGCAAAAGAACTCAGGTTTGTCTGAAGTCTGGTACTGATTTTCTCCACAGCCACAAACGGTGTCGCGCTCAGGAGTACAGCTGGATATTGTTATCTGTCCAAAGCCTAGACCAGGAAGAGAGGGGTCAATTGATTAATACTGCATAGTTTATACTTGGCAATATAGTATAAAGCTGTCCAAGTGCAAACAGAAATTAATCCCTATCTCATGCAGCTTTCACTGGCAGGCCATAAAACAGAATCTTTTGAATGAGAGTTACCTGTCTTTGTATATTACATTTTTGCGATGTAAAACAAAGATTATACAATTAAACTGCTTTGGAATTAACATATGAAAATGCATTTGATGCTCCCAAGAGGACTTTACATAAAGAGCCTCCTGTAATGTTTGTTATAAGATTGTGTTATTAAATACCCCTCATCATTTTAGCCCTATTATTTGAATACTCCATCCAGATAAAAAGTTCATACCCATCGGTGTCTTTTATTATAATCACATATAAGAAGAAAAGACTTACTTGACCGGCAGCGTCCACATCCAAAGCACTTATCAGAATAATTTTCTATGGACATGAAGGCATTTGGGCGGCACACTGCGCACTTGGTTGCCTTATCTTGCCCTGAACAGTGTTCTGCCACGTATGTTCCTACAAAATAAAGAAATTACAATTCAAAATCAAAATGAAAGGTGAGATGGTGGTCTTCACCCTTTTAAACCCCAGGGTGTGCCACAAACCAAGCATATAAATAATTAAAGGAGCACACAAGGCATGCTGCCGTTTTCAAGAGGGCTCACTGTTCCAGTTACAACCTTTTGTGTGCTTTTTGGGGTTGTTGTTACACTGGCACTGTTCATGCATAATTTTTCCATGCATACACAAAACCCAGCCAGCTCGAGGACATTGACATCCTGGGTGTCAGTGAACTAAAATGGACGGGAATGTGCAAATTCAATTCAGACATGATCATATCTACTACTGTGGGCAAGATTCCCATAGAAGAAATGGAATAGCCCTCATAGTCAACAAAAGTGTGGGAAAAGTTGTAAGAACCTGGATACAATCTCAAAAATGAGAGAATGATTTCAATACAAATCCAAGGCAGACCTTTCGACATCATAGTAATCCAAGTTTATGCACCAAACACCGATGCTGAAGAGGCTGAAACTGAACAATTCTATGAAGAATTACAACACCTTTTAGAACTGACACCAAAGAAAGATGTTCTCATTCTAGGGGACTGGAATTCTAAAGTAGGGAGTCAAGAGATAAAAGGAACAACAGGAACGTTTGGCCTTGGAGTTCAAAACGAAGTAGGGCAAAGGCTAATAGAGCTTTGTCAAGGGAACAAGCTGGTCATCACAAACACTCTTTTCCAACAACTCAAGAGGCGACTCTACACATGGACATCACCAGATGGGCAATACCAAAATCAGATTGATTATGTTTTCTGTAGCCAAAGATGGAGAAGCTCTATACAGCCAGCAAAAACAAGACCTGGAGCTGACTGTGGCTCTGATCATCAGCTTCTTATAGCAAAACTCAAGCTT